ATTGTGTAAAATATTATGTACACATAGCACAATCCTATAATATATGTGGAGTACGGAAATGTATAACTATGGATTCACAAAGTACATACAAGTGGAATATGTTTTGCTATTTGTATATTAACAGTGTACACCCTAATGTATAGTTCCTTCACAAAAAGGGGCCCATAATTTTTTTATTGGGTGTGAGCCCCCTATTTTGAGGGGGCTATACACCAAAATGTACACATAACAAAATCTTGATGGAATATAAAAGTATAATGAGATCAGTATCATCAATCAATTAATATATTGAACTCTAAAGAAGCAAAAATTGTTATAATAATGTTAAGTGTACATTCTTTGATGTACATTCTTTTTGACATTACTCATACTATCAAATAATTATAAGCGGAATTAAAAAAAAAATGTTTAATAGTGTGCTGTCACGTGGCACAATGTAAACAATGATATAAAAGATATTGTACATGTAGTATGATTGAAACTTGAAACTGTTAACATGTAGCAGTAGTCAGCATTTCCATCCAATTATCTACTGTCATACAAATCTGTCAACTTTTATATGATTTTCCTTCAGCAAAGTAGATTAATCCAATAGTTAATATCGTTTTTTACTAATTAACATTTGTATGCAATGGGAGAAAAAATAAAAAGGGAAAATTGCAGGTATGATCCCAAACCTTTTTGCTTTTTACAGACTTTATCTTGACCTTCACTTTGTGCCATCCATGGTTCCAGACCTTTCAAATATTTTCACCGTAAGGACAAAATGATAGAAACCGTTAGTCAATCTGTTAGTTGACTAAAGGTTGTCGATCTGACCCAATTTTGACTGATTTTTAAAGGGCAAAATGGTAATTTTAGATTACTCATATTAAAGAATTAAAATATATTAAATAAAAAACCAAAAGGAAAATAATTTGGAGATTGAGACTTCTTCTTCTTGCTACCCCACACCGAAGTCCACCCACCCCACCCGTACCGACGACCTTCACTCACCACACCGAAACCATCGCACCTCGCCACAACGAACTCCACTATAAACAATCCATATCGGTACTCCACGCACCTAACCAATCAAACCAAAACCCACAACCACCGGCAACCGCTACTACATAGCGCTATCCTCACTCGACCTTAAAGCCCCAATTTCATGGCACCAATGATTCTTGTACCTTCATATCCTCACTCGACCTTAAAGCCGTCCATTCTCAAATTCTAACGGCAACAGAAATTTCATCAAACACTTGTCTCTTTGACATCTCATTCTCCAACAACATCCACCATGAGTTTAGGATTTTGTCGATTTTACAAATATAGGAGGAAATTCCTACTGGCCTTGTTGTTTACACTCGGGTTTGACCCAAAATGAGAATAATAAATGGTGTTGTGTGTTAGGTGGATTCGTGAGATGATTTGGGTGTGGTGGGTTGATGATCGTCGATGCGGTGGGGGTGTAGATGGCAGTCGTCGGTGTCAAAGGGCTTGGATCTACAATAATGACTACGCATGTGGTTTTGGTTTCTGTGAGGGTATGGTGGGGTGTGGGTGTGGGTGTGGGAGTTGGGTGGGAAGAAGATTGAAGAAAAATAAATTTCCAAATTATTTTCTTTTTAGTTTTTTTTTATTTAATGTATTTTAGTTCTTTAATATGAGAAATCTAAAATTATCCTTTTGTCATTTAAAAATTAGTCAAAATTAGGTCAGGCCATTGACATGTGGTTAACTAACGGATTGACTAACGGTTTCTATCATTTTGTCTTTACGGTGAGAATATTTGAAAGGTTTGGGACCGTAGATGACACAAATTAAAAGTTGGGATAAAGTCTGCAAAAAACGAAAATATTTGAAACTGCAGCTACAATTTTCCCATTGGAAAATCGTGAAAAAATCAATAGGGATATAGAATTGTAAAAATATGAGTTTGAGTTGTGGAATATCTAATCAAGACTCTTCAATTAATAAAACTTGAATATCACCTAGACTAATACAGTGCTAAACAACATTATGCCACACACATTCGGCCCCCAAAAGGGAGGTAATATTTCCTTTAGAGATAGGGAAATCAAAATTGGGTTGGACCAAAAGCTATGAAACTTGTAATTCATGTATTTTTTTCCTTCTTCATCTCAATACGAAAAAAAATATTTAGATAAAAGGTCTGCAAGGGTATGTTACGATCTTTATGAAACAATGATTATAAAACACTTGTTTACATACCCAAATATGTTTCGACTCGAACATTTTGGATGCGAATTCTCCTCAAGAAACGGATGTAATAGCAAAGACCATTACAGACAACAAACTCAGCACGTTGCACTTCTTCGACAACTGGAACAAGATAGCAAATCGATGACAGTTTTGAGCCAAACTTATCCCTGCTCAATACTATAGTCCCAAGATAGCAGATTCAAGATTTCAGTAGGAAGACAAAGGTAAAAGGTAAATCCTCAAAACAACATTAGAACTGTAAATCTCAAAGTTATGAAATATAGTTGAGCATAAAAGTAAAACAACTTATGAAAAGGTTAAAGGTTTCTCTAGACATGGATGCATGATTTTTCGAGGGTTCCCTTTGAAATCAAACAAGCAAAGGTTCTCAATAAAAGCATTATACAAACAACCGAATCAATTCTATGGAGGAATCAAAAAGTATTCCCTCAATTTGACTCATTACTGAGACAAAAGTCTTGCTATCCAATAATCTTGGTGTAGATGGTCTTCTTCTTGCCCCCCACCACACACACAAGGCGACAGCAAACAATTTCAACTCACCATCGGACTAGGAATGGAGTTGGATTTCTATCTGTAGTGATTCTTTGAGCCATATAGCCCTAGAGTAGTGATATAAACAAAAATGTCCACAGTTCTCTATAAATTGGTGACAATTTAGTGGCTCCATATACAAAAATACAGGGCTTCAACCTTCAATAAATATATGGTACATACGTATTTAACGACTTGATTTAAAAGTGACGTCTTCACTCAGAATCCTACGCATCAGAGGTCGCCATGAAATCTTGCAGTTCCTGCAAAAGTGAATACAGCCACCCACACATATGGAAAATGGCAATTTCCTGCACTGTTCTGATTATCTAGTCAACGAATTGAAAATACGATAAGATGCAACACATAGTAACTAAGAAGAGAAACTCCCCATTAATGACACATGATATTTCTATCCATATCCAACAATTTATGATCGATAGGATTTGCAGCAGCCACAATCGATGACAATGATTAACTAAAATGAAAGGAAGAATAGCTACAATATGAGGGGATAGACAAAAGCTTATGCAAAACTGAATTCAAACATCATACCACACCATCAAAATTGACAAGCTAGAATTTGCCTCACATAAAATCTAACCGTACATGACACTTGAAGGTCAAGAAAAACTGACATGCCAGTATTAGCTTCATGTCATAATACATGACAGTCGCACGCATAAATTATAAACATTACCCTGACAAACCCACATAAAAAGCGATAATATGATAAAAACGTAAGGTATTGAACAAACCACGTATGTTGACTAAGAATTAAAAAATTAGGTAAAAACAATGAATAAAAAACTCTATTTAAATCAATAAGAATAACGAACTAGGTAATGCACCCACTATATCACTTGTCCATATGAACTGTCTTCTCCAAACACAACAATGTATAATGCTAAATACAAATAGCTCTTATATAACCACCAGAAGAATGTCTCCTTGATCATGCTCAAATAAATACAGTCACAGCAATCTAGACAATTTTCGTGGGTCAAGTATTCTCTAAGTTTACATTCTAACAGTACATGATATCAGCTAAGACCAGCTAAAGAAAACATTCCCATAGCAGATCCCACCCTGAAAGAGAGAAATATCAAATATATGGCAACTAGGCCTGCTCCAAGCATCCTGCTCGGACGCATGTTATTTCTGGGTAAAACAACGAGTGCCCAAATAATTCCTGAAATGAGAAATCCCAAGGTGAAACACAAGCTTCTATCTCGTGGGAGCACAAAGGGAATAGGTTTCTCAGACCAGGCTCCCAACAGCATTGAGATGCCCAATCCAATAAGCGTGTTGAACATAGCACCTGCATAACATCCAAACATTGCAATCTGTACGCCATCTCCACCATTCAGTGACAAAGCAATGTTAGAAACCAAATCACCCATCGAGTTGCCCCAAGCCAATACAGTTAACCCAAGGATGGAAGGATTGACACCTAGAACCACACCAAATCCAACAAGTAGAGCAACAAGCTCATTTGCAATCATGTAAAACCAAACAATACTCATCACAAATCCTCCTAAAACCCATGGAAATAAAAATTTCTGAGGTGGACGATCTGGCCTTGTGTGCTTATAAGTAAGAATACAAAGCGTGCATCCAATTAAGATGCCGATGAAGTATGCAACTATTCTACTTTGAGAACCCAAGCTGTATTGTGAACTCCACAGATAAGCAAGAAGAATTGGAGCCAATAGAGCACTTCCCATAGCATATGGCTTAGACCAAGTTTCCTCCTCCACTAAAGGAATTGTGAGCCGCCTCGGTACAGTCAGAGGCAACTCCATAAGGGAAAATAGCTTCGAACAGGAAAATGATGGCCGTTCCATTTCTATGTCTTCGTCATTCCATCCCCACAAAGACTTGTCAACATCAGGGATCTTCAGCACCTGGTTTGAATATATTGCCACATTAGAAGCCCACATCCACTGAGGTAGGGAACCATGGGACTGGGCACCAACACTTTCAGTCTCAATGTCAAGCAATGAGCTGAGACGGGTTCATCCTCCAGATTTCCATGAGAAAATACACTTCCTCTTACATGAAGCAAAGGAGTAACGGCGTCCAGTTTCAGCCTCTGCGCTTGTTCCCTCAAAATCTCATTGGCAGCCACTGCAAAGGCATACAGAATATAAATGGATACAAATGCAATGGCACCGCCAACAGTCACTCCAAAAAAGAGCCACAATGGCAAACATAAAAAATACAGTATCCCTTATAAAGCACTTCTTGTCAATCTGAATGTCCTGATCTGCTATACAAAGGGAAACAACCCCAACAACAATGCAAGTAACAAACACTGCCCCTCCTAATACACTATTAAGGCCCACCTCTCCCGTGCCAGTACCTAAAAAAGCAGCAATACTAGCAAACACATCTGGAGCACCATTTCCAAGTGGAAGCAGAGTTACACCGGCTACAGTAAGAGATAGCTTCAGAAGAGTTGAAAGTTTTTCCAAAGAACAACAAAAGTAATCTGCCGCAGTGTTTCCTAAAAGATAGAACAATGCAGCAAGCCAAGCCCCCAACACCAAAAATGCCCATGCACTCTCACCGCAATTACAATAATAAAACTTTAAGTAATAAAAAAACCCATCTGACGTGCACTGCAGATGGGCTTTCAGGAACTCACAGCTACTGCCATAACCATTGTGATCAGACAACCCCGCACAAAATTCAGCCTTCTTTACATCCAAATTATTAGGATCGGAGCCATTCACAATTGAAGAATTTGCACTTAATTCAGCCATTTCTCTACGATTCACGAATTGGTTCCGCAAATCGGAATAAACCCCCCTAGCTGAGCTCCATTTAGGATTATATACTGAATACGATTGCTTTGAAAGTGGGTTTCTCACAATATCCTCTCGATTGTAAAACAAGAAAATCAAAACTAGGGCACATAACCCATTGAAAATCCCACGAAGATGGGGACTTCTTTTACTATAAAATCCATTCAACTGCCTCATTTTTTTTCCGATAATTCACTTGAATATCTCTCGTATCAATATCATTAACAGCAACAGAAATATCCAAAACCTAATTCGAAAATCAAGCTAATCATAATCAAGTCTACGGTTTCAATTCACGAGTAAAGAAACCCTCATTATAAGAAAAATGAAAATTCTTCCAGAACCGGAATAACCTCGATTCTGTCACGTATAATGAGGAATTTGAATTGATCAACGGTTTAAGAGAAATGAGAAATTATGGTTCACAGATGAGGGTGCAGGATAATGGAAATTACTTGTAGGTTGACTAAAATTTTGTTTTGATCTTTTCGCGATAAGCTTTTTTCTTCTTCAACAATTCCACCTTTTCTTTTTCGCCGTAAATTTTTCCATTTTTGATCCCTTTATATTCTGCCTGGAAATTAACATTAAGGATCGAGTACAATAATAAAAGAAACATACATATTTGGTCCCCAAAGTTTCTAAAATAGGTGGCATATACCCTCTACCTCTTTTAATAAGCAATGCTATTTAGCCTCAATGGAGTTACAACCTCAGTATATGTGGCGTTAATGTAACATTAAATAATATGTAAAAATAAATAAGTCATTTAATTTCACATTTCATTTAGCATATTATTTAAAGTCACCTAAATTGGGATTACAACCTCAGTGGAGCTATATAACATTACTCTTTTTTAATGGCACCAACCATTCCCAACATTTCTAATGATAACTGATTAGCATGTTCGATCCCTGTTGCGAGAATCCATCCAATTAGGCAGTTAACATGCATGCAATGAATTTGCCCTACACTTTAAATAAATAAAAAGGAAACGAAACTAATATAACACAACAAAAAATAAAAAATTAGACCCCTAAGAAAAAGAAATTCACAAAAAGACCCCCCCGAAACCCATTTGTCTTCACCGATTTAACCCCCAAGCCACCAACCCAAGATACTGTCATCGGCAACTTCACTTCTGTCCGACATATATTAGCACCTCAAACAATTCCAAATGAATACAATAGTTTCAATTTCATTGTTTCGATTATCTTAACTGTCGATATGTTTGTACGAGTTTTGATAATACGTTACGAGAAAAAAATGGTGCATGGGACTTTGAAAATTGAAGTTGACGGTTCGCGCTCAATGTTATCAAGAATTGATATATTTGGCAATAGCTCCACCTCCGCCACCGCTGCCCCCACCATCGCCACGGTAGTGGCTCAAACTCGAATTCCTCTCTCTCTCTTCATACAACTTCTTGAGGAGGAATTTGTTGGCAACGCCAGCCTCTGCCTCATCGAGGTCTACTGGTGCTATTTTGATTATAAGCACATATAGTGGATCAAATTCATGCCAATATCGTAAATTTTGCAAATGATGCGTTTGCTTGTTAATTTATGTTCAGTGTTTACTATAAGTAGACATGCAATAGAAGGTGATGTGGTCATAAGAGAGCACCCCGAGCATGAGGACTTTTATGGCTCGTTTTTCACAATTAGAGGACCAATGTACTCGGGAGTCATAGAGTCCTCGAGATACCTCGAGGACTTCCAGTAATAGACCGCTCTAATCACGTTGGTTATCCTCGAAGGTAAGTCCTCGAGTTTTTCCCTTAGCCTAATTCTAAAATGTTCAAGTACGGATAATCCCCACCTCTTAAGGACTCTAAACCTATCCGATACTCCAATTCAAGAGTCCTAGGTCCAGAAGGAGTCTATCTAGGGAAATATTACAGTTAATGTAGGATCCGACTTATTATTGTGGTCAAACACTCATCCCAATTAGAATTCCTAAAAATAAAGATACCAAGTCCGGCTAGGAATGCACTACATATCTCTATAAATATGAAACCTTGGATCATTACTCATATACGTTTTTACATACAATTCCAGCATTCAAGCTTTTTTATATTCTCTCTCTGACTTAAGCATTGGAGGGTGTCGAGGACACACCTCGAAGCCTTTGTTTCAGGTATCGAAAGATCATGTTCATGCTCATTCTTAGTCGTTAAGCTAGAAATTCAATATGTGCATTTTTTGGTAGCATCATTGGAGCCATATGTGGGAAACGCTACCAAAAGCCATGGTAAATACACATTCAGGTCTTCCTCCAGCAAGCTCATCCACTCCGAACCAACCTCCTATCTTGAAGCCCACAATCCATCAAGAAGAATCATTGGCAATACCAATCCCTCAACCAGCAGTGATTACCACTGGAGCATTCAAAGAACTCCGTCAGCAAGTTACAATGCTAACTCAACAACTAAGTCAAAGAAATACTCCTCCGACTCCAGCACCAGCTCAAGTACCAACACCGGCTCAACCAAGAGGTGATGCTTGAGCTTGGGACACCGTGATACCCACGACAATGTTGGATCTGGAGCCTCGGGTATACCCCAGTGGCCTCAGCCTCGAGATTGGTTACCATGGACTCAGGCGAACTCGCTTGGATCATACAAGATGGGATTACGATTGGACTATTGTATAATATCCAGGGAATGACAGGGTTTACCCCTAACATACCGTTCATGCCAGAGGTTCTTTCCTATCCGCTCCTGGATAGGTTCAAATTTTCCTGTACAAAGGAGTATGATGGGACCACTGACCCTATCAACCACCTCAATGTGTACACAGACGTCATGAACCTACAGGTTGCACCAGACCCAGTAATGTAGAAAGTCTTTCCTCAAACTTTGACCAATGCCGCTAGAGATTGGTTCGCCACGCTGGAGCCTAATTCTATAGCATCAATCTCAAATCTTGCCAATAAGTTCCTCACTTTCTTTGCAAGTAGTAAATGCATCAAGAAGACAGCAGCCACCATTATGCAGCTCCGCTAGGGCCTAAACGAGACCTTACATAACTTTATGACGAGATTCAACAAAGAAGGTTACAGATACCTGACCTTCACATTAAATCATCTATTTCAGCTCTAACATATGTAGTAAGGTGTGAAGCCTTCATGATGTCTTTATCTAAGACACCACCGAAATCACTGACTAAGCTCCTCATCCGAAGAGAAAAGTACATTAACATGGAGGAGGCAATGAAAGCTAGTCCAAGCTCTGAGAAGCCCCAGCTTAAGAGGCCACATGAGCCAAACTTGCGATAAGATCATGCTCGAGGCAAGCAAAAGTAGGAAGTACCACCTAGGTCGTTCACACGTCTGAATACCTCTAGGACCAACATACTGATGGAGATCAAGAATATGAAGGAGCTTAAATGGCCTCCCAGGTTGCGATCTCCCCCAGAGACCAGAAATAAGAGCAAATACTGTGACTACACAGGGATCATGGGTATACAACGGAGAAGTACATAACATTATAGCGAAAGATTGATGCACTGATTGAAAGAGGATTCCTGAAGACATATTTCGGGTACGATAAATGTCCCAGGAATAATCACAATGAGAGGAGGACCCTAAAATCAGGAGGAGGTAACAAACCGAAGTCTGGTACAATTAATATCATAGTTGGGGGATAGGATCGGGAGGAGATTCAAATAGTGGACGAAAGTAATATGCTCGACAATACAGTTCCGCTCAAGAGACCACTCTCTATAACACGGAAGACATTACCTTTGGATCAAAGGACTTGGAAAGCATAACATCTCTTCATGACAATGCCTTTGTCATATCTGCTATAATAGTCAACTTTGAAGCCAAAAGGATATTGGTGGACAACGGAAGTGCAGCCAATGTATTGTCCCATGATAACTACACAAAGATGGGTATTTCCACTAACCAGGTTGTGGGAATTGTGCGCGGGGATCAAACAGCAGCGATGAAGTGTTATGCTACTAGTATTCAAAGTTCGAGCACTGATGTCATGCAATTATCTACTCCTGAGCTCAAGCTCGAGCACTAGGACATACTTGCTCCAGTGGAAGTTTTTATAGAGCTCAGGCTCGAGCATGGAAAAAAAATAACCATTGGCCGGGATATTGAAGCCGCTCTCAAAGATGAACTCATTAAGTGCTTGTCCCACAACATTGATATATTCGCATGGAAGGTTGAAGACATGCCTATGATAGACCTCGATGTAGTGGTCCATAGACTCAACGTAAGGCTTGGGACTGAGCTAGTAAAGTAAAGCAGAGGCAATTTCTGCTAGAAAGATGGGAGCTAATACGCGAGGAGGTTAATAAACTCGTTAATGCTCAGTTCACCAATGTTGTTCTTGTCAAGAAGGCTAATGGTAAATGGGGGTGTGTATTAACTTCCCAGATCTCAACAAGGCGTGTCCAAAAGACAACTATCCCCTGCCTCAAATTGATAACTTAGTGGACAGTACCTCGAGCCACAAGTTTTATAGCTTTCTTGATGTATTATTGGGCTATCACCAGATCTTTATGGTTGAAGAAGATCAAGATAAGACGTCCTTCATAGCTGAGTCAGCCATATATTGCTACAAGGTCATGCCATTCTGTTTAAAAAATGCAGTGAGAGCGTATCAAATGCTCATCAACAAAATCCTCACTGATATGATCGGGAAAAACATTGAGGCCTATGTCGACGACATAGTGGTCAAGAGTAAACAGGTGAATGAGCACATTGCCGACCTTGATGAGGTGTTCTCTACAATTCGAAGGTATAAGATGAAGTTAAACCCAGCAAAGTGTGCTTTTGTGGTGGCCTTGGGAAAATTTTTAGGCTTCATGATCACGCATAGGGGGATTAAGGCAAATCTAAACAAGATACAAGCCTTAATATCCATGGAGTTGCCTAAGAACAAGAAAGAGGTGCAAAAGCTGATAGGTTAGGTCGCTGCTTTGAATAGGTTTATGTTTAGA